TGCCAAGAATCAGCCCGAGGATGGGCCCAACACAAGGAGAGCAGCAGTCCGCGCATGCAAGTGCTTAAGAGCTATGTCAACCAATATGAGTCCACCATCCACGCAGTACATCTAGCCGCCCGCACCCATACACAAAAAAGCAAGAACGCAGTAGGACCAGCCGTTGACTATCGCCCGCAAGGAGAAGCCCTCCCAGTCATCTCCTCAGACCTGACTTCTGAATTACTGCATTGCTTGTCCACGCTTCCGGACCCATGGCCTCTGGCCAAGATCACCAAGACATGGAGAAACCGAGCCAGTGGGTCTCCAAATTGTGCAGACTCTACTTTGCTGATGAGTGTGTCTTGTTCTTGGTTTGAACTGATTTGCCATTCTTACGGGCCATACGTGTCCATTTTTGTTTTGATCTCAGATTTTCACTGCTTACGCAATTGTAAGGACCGAGTCTAGTGCAATATCGGCCACGCCAGAGGAAAAAAACAAAAACAGGAGGTTTTGGCCGAAAAATGCCCCCCCCCCAGGTAAACCTGTAACCTTTTACGAGTGCCATCCGCGCCCCAGTACCTTCGGTGCGGGCGGATTTTGGTTCGGTTGCACGCACACACACACACACCAAACGACTACAACCAAGACAGCGAAAAAGTGAACCAGCCAAGCAACCAAACGACCAACCAACCAGGCAACCAGCTAACATGCTTGCTGTGCCTGTGCTTCCGTGCTGTGACAACGCCACAAAGGTGGATGATACGGCCCACCTATACAGTTCTGTTGGGGGGAGGCTCTGCGCCGTGGTTTTTGTTTTAACTTGAATCCTACGTGGGTACTGCATGAGTATTGAGCATACTTATATACGCTGTCAAGGCTCAAGAGAGGTATAGAGTAATCCTGTAGACACCACTCATGTGACGCTTTGCGGGGGGAGGGCGCAGCGCCCTCCCCCCGCGCCCCCCTCCCGCCTTTTTATTTTAAAGCCCTGCCGGCGGCTTGTGACAACGCCAGAAAGGTGGATGATAAGGCCCACCCACATTGCGAATGAATGTGTCATGATAAGGCCCACCTACATTGCGTCCATTCCAACATAGTAGACATACACCTTTGCAAGTCAAAATGAGGATGGCAGCTGACCATTGCTGTGTGGGGGCCTGGAACTGGTGGCCCGGTGGCCCAACGACTCAGCTGCCTTGCCGGTTCTGTTCTAGCTTCTGCTTTCGGGTTTAGGCTTCTGGCTTTTGGCTTCTGGCTTCTAGCCTCTGGGTTTTAGCGCCAGGCTTGACCTATTGGCCTCTGGCCATTTGGCTTTTGGCTCTTTGGCCTTTTTCAAGCATACTTCATCGCGTAGCCGTGCGTTGTTGTGCAAGCTTCCGTATACAGCAGGCCCGCCCACCCGTGCCTGGAAAACATGATGGAAAGAATGGTTTTTGTAGCCCATTGGATTCAATGTTGTTTGGCCCAGTGCCTCGTTATTGAACAGCTTGCGAACCAATACGTGTTCCTTGTGCGATGACTCGTACATGTCGGCGTCGACCAAGCCCACCCAACCGTCCCTCCCAAGTATATTCCTTTTTTAATGTAATTTTTCTGATAGCAATAATTGTTTTACCAATGACCCCCCCCAAAAAAATAAATCATCAAAAAATAATTTAAACATATTTTTTTGATGATGGAATGCACAGATTTCATGATGCTTGTATTTTGCGTTTGGCTTGCGCAGGCCAGGATATGAGGGAATATTTTTTTGGATGAGTTTAATTTTTTTTGATGGGAAATTAAATTTCTTCTTGATGACTTTTTAATTTTTTTGATAGCTGACTCGGGCGCAAGTGAGTAGGCTGGGGGGCGCTATTGAAGGCGCAAGTGATCGATTTGAGGCGCAAGTGATCAGACGGCGCAACCCTCTCAAAAGCCTTTCTGAAGCACCTTTCGAACCTTGCTCAAACCCCCTTCAAACCTTTCCGAAGCCCCCTTGAAGCCCTCTGAAGCCCTTCTGAAGCCCCCACCAAGCCGCCTTGAAGCCCTCTTCGCCTTGAAGCCCCCTTCAAGCCCTTCTCAAGCCCTTGAAACCCTTCTGAAGCCCCCTTCAAGCCCCGCTGGAAGCCCCCTTCACCTTGAAGCCCCATTGAAGCCCCTTCTCAAGCCCCCTTGAAGCCCCCTTGAAGCCCTTCTGAAGCCCCCTTGAAGCCCTTCTCAAGCCCCTTCAAGCCCCCTTCGAAGCCTTCACCTTCAAGCCCCCTTCAAGCCTTTCTCAAGCCCCCTTGAAGCCCCCTTAAAGTCCTTCTCAAGCCGCCTTGAAGCCCCCGTTGAAGCCCCCTTGAAGCTCCCTTGAAGCCCTTCTCAAGCCCCCTTGAAGCCCCCTTCAAGCCCTTGAAGGCTTCACAAAGGTGAAGCCCCCTTCAAGCCCCCTTGAAGCCTCCTTGAGAAGGGCTTGAAGCCCCCCTTGAAGCCCCCCCCTTCAAGCCTTCTGAAGGTGAAGGGTACTGTTCGTTTTAGTCTTCGGATCCTTCCTGGTGGAAAGCTTTTTAAAGAGTAGGATTCCCAAGAAGCTCAAAGAATCAATTCCAATATCACTTTTTACCCTGGTGCAATTTGAGAGACGGATGTTGATGTCATCTTGTTCCACGGCAGAAGTTATCATCCTTGGGGCCATCCTGGCATGCGTCTGGGGTGGATTGCGATTTGCAGATGCTCAACGCTGTCATTGTAGAAGTTTCTGCTTTGACGGCTCTTCATTTCGAGAGGAACATATTCATGGACTGAAAAGTGACTGACAACTTTGGATGAACTATGGTATCATGCAAAAACTACAGACCTGGGGATGCCGGACCCTGACTTCCTTTTCCCTATGGTGAGATCTGATGGGGTGGCACTTCCTTGGACAGCGATGCAGTATGCAGATGCTTTGAAATGGATCCGACATATGGCAACATTGCTCTGGAAATCCAAGCAACAAGATGAAAGGCACCTCACGGTTCACTCAATGAAGAGCACGTTGCTCTCTTGGGGATCACAGCTCATGGCATATGGAGGTATCATCAGAAGAACGGCTTTTACAGGGTCACCATAGACAAGGCTCTTCACGTAGCCTTCGCCGATATAGTCGTGATGATGTCCATGGTCAACTAGCTTCGTGTGTGAGACGGGGCCGCAGGTTTGTGACTCCACAATATCGAGGTGGCCAGCACCCAATTGCAGAGCCGGCAGTTCAAATTGAGTTTTTTTCGTAAAACTTCGGGGGACCCCAGCTGGAAGTGTTTTGACTTCAAGAAGTGGTGCATCCTCTTCAAGCTCAAGTGACTCATCTTCTGGAGTCCGAAGCAGCTTCCAAAGATCGTCCGTTGAAACGATCAAAGCAGTCAACAACCACTGCCCCATTAGATGAGGTCTTGGCGGCCTTTGTTTCGCAGGTGCAACACGCTATGCTGCCAACTGACAAAGACTGGTGTCCACACTGCGAGAGCAAGCACTATCAGTCAGCTTGCGGGGCCCGCTTGGACCCAGACAGAACAAAGTTTTCTCAATGCGCGGATCATGGATTGAATCTGTGCCAGAGACCCGCTTGTGTCAAGGCTTGGAAAGCCGTACTGATCCAAGGTGCGTGGCCGCTAGCCAGCAAAAAAGGTTGCAGTTTTGCAGCTCCATTCGAAGCGCTTCTTCGAGTCTTGCAATCAGGCTCATACAGTACATTACATTCTATCATTCCGTTTTCTTCACGTGGTACTTATCATTGGGTTTTTCAAATATTAGGCTTTCATGTTTCTGTGTGAGTGCGAACATCATTTAAGCATGTGCCCATCACATTTTCCCGACCTTATCGCTGGAGTTTCAACAGGATTCAAGGACGAAATCCACCCATCCCATGTCTTTGTGTCCAAACCGGAACCAGAAGATGCACCAGCTTCGGACTTATCAGTCCACCTTACCAATTTGAAGACTGCCGAGGATCATCCTGAGGTAACAGCTGACCTGGTGGCTGAAGAAATTGACAAGGGATGGCTGATATGTTTCGATGGTACAGTGGAAGACGCAAAGAACAGATGGCCTCATGGGGTGGCTATTGGCAAGCTGGGTGTAGCCATTTCTGATTCCCGTCCTCCGCGACTTGTTGTGGATTATACTGTTTGTGGTACCAATCCTAACTGCAATATACAAGAACATCAGCAACTTCCCAGTGCCAAAGAAGTCCAGCCCACAAACTCTGCGTTATCAAGGAGGAGCACCGTGGTCTGGTGGGTTTCAGCTTGAACGGTAAACTTTACTTTTACAAAGTTTGCCCATTTGGTGCTAAGTTTTCAGCCTTTTGGTGGAGACGTTTGGGAGCTTTCTGGACCAGCTCCTGCACCATTTGATCTATGTGGCTCATTCTTTATTCCTATTTGTGGATGACTGGCTCCTGATCCAACGACTGGAGATTCTTCCTATTACAGCAGCTCTGGTCACTTTGTTCATCCAGGCATTTCGTCTGCCAATTGGAGGAAAGCGGAACTCGATAGAGAAGTCAGTTGGATCGGCTGGACCCTAAATTTCTCCACTGGTATTATCAAACTGCAATCGACGAAGCGTGATAAACTACTCAAGCTCATTGATGACCTTTTGCAACGACCCAAAACATCCCGCAAGCAAATAGAGAAATTCATCGGCTTACTTCTCTGGGTGACTCAAATTTTTCTGATGATGCGGTCATTCATTCACCACTTGTATGCTGACCTTTACAAAGCTCCAGCCACTCTGTATTCAGTGGACCCAGGGTACTGGTTGACTACGGTGGCATGTTTATCCGAAACATTACAATTTTCGGTACGACCAATTGGCACTGCTATTCCAATTGGTGGGCAACTATTATCTGTCAGACATCAACCAGTCCAATCGCTTGAAGATGTACGTAACTGTCGCTCTGGCTGCGTATTTTGGATCCAACTTCATCCAAAAGATCTATTAGTCCAAGTTCTCAGAGAATTTTGCGTATGTATCAAGACTGGTTAGGACACTCCACTCCATTTGTTTCAATGAATCCCAAGCTCCCTTGGGCTGGCGAAACAGCAGCTGATGCTTGTGCTCACGGCAACAGCTGCCAAGTAGGTGGCTTCTTGAAATTCGCCAACGGGGACATGCGATGGTTTAGTGAACAATGGACGTCAGAGGACTTCCAATCCTTGGACATTCCGGTCAACCAGGACATGCAAAAGGATATTAGTTCCTATGAGGCTTTCGCCCAATTTTGTTTGCTGTATTCATGGTGCTCCTTGATGCCGGGGCAACGTTTCTCCATCACCTTGGAAAGCCTCAGTGATAACACTGCAGCGGAAGCCAATTCCAATTTCCTTTTTACAACAAAAGTTCCTCTTTGTTTCTTTGTGGAAAGACTATGCATGCTAATTGCAACGGTTCGTGCTGAGCTGGGTGTTAGCCATATCGCAGGTCACTCCAATGAGCTTGCAGATAAAATCTCACGCTTACCACTAGATAAGCCTTTGCCATCCGATTTGAATGCAGCCGATAGAATCAGATTGCCCCTGACCGGAATTTGGTTTCCATTTCAAAGACCTCAGCTGTTCCCGAATGGGGCTTCTGTGGCTTGGAAACTCCCGAATCCTCGTTTCTAAACCCTATTGTTTTTCTGTTGCCAGTCATTCCCTCATACGGTTTTCAAAGGGGTGTATTGTTGCATTCATGAAGTCCTGGTTCGATAGAAAATTTGGGTGAAAGGTGACCATCGAACTTTGACTTCTGATGTGGAATGCACACATCAAAACCTGGCAATGGAAAAACAAGTGAGGGGTTTTCCGTCTGAGTGCACAGCCGAGTGATTTCACTTGCATGTTTTTCACTGGTGATATATATGTATGTTTTTTGTTTATATACATACGTACTTAATTGATGCTGTGTTGGTTTGTTTGGTTATGTGTATATATATATGTTTAATGTACTTTGTCTTGTTTATATGTCAGTGACTAGCTCGCTTCCTCAAAGCTTTAGTAGCCAATGAATGCTTACTTGTTAGAACACATTCGATCTCTTTCGACATTCATTCGATTTGCTCTTCTTTTCCCCCTCCCTCCTCACCCTCTTGTTCTGTCGGGCAAAATGGATTCTTTGACCTTGACGCTCCGTGAATGGCCTTCAATGGAGATCGGAAATGGCGACAAACTCGTACGTTTCCTCAACATTATATCTTTCCTTCTGGAAAACATCTTTGACTCATTTTCCGGCAAGCACTGGGGGTTTATGTGCTCCTGCATCCACGCTGCCTTTTCGGGCCATTTTGAGCCAATTTCCAATTTCTTTGTTTCACACCCTCCGACCTCTATCTATTTCTTCTCTTCCTCCTTCCTTGGCTCCGAGTGAACTCGTTTAATTTCAGATGCCAATTTCGCCAACATTCTACTTCGTGAACTTGCATAATTTCACAATTTCAAGGGCCTCCCGCTCCCAGAACTGTTGACCTCTGTTTTGTTTGCCGCCGCCGATTTATTTCCTGTTCTCTTTTTTGTCAAATTCATGCAGGAGGTCCCAATGAATTGGTTCTTGTCAAACCATCAAGATGAGTCCTTCTCTCCTGTTTTGAGCCTCATCACAGAGCTGGACTCATCTTCTGAACCGTCGGATGGTGTTGATGCCCATCTCCAAGTACAATATGAGCAAGACTGTGCTGAACAAAACGTTCAAGACTGCGAAGATTATAATGATTTCGTTTCCGGAAGAAGACTTTGACGCGTTCAGCGGCCCAAAGCAGCAACTGCACACCACCATTCCTTAGTGGGCTTCCTGTTCCTTGGTGGACCAGATTTTGAGTTGACATTCAGCCAACCAACATCGAACCTTAGTCACCTCAGTGAGCGAAAGGTTCTGGTTCTGGAGACTCCAACCAAGTCTCGCTAAAAAGGTGCAACTTGGTTTAGCAGGGCCATGAGAGGGACGAAGATCGCAAGACCAAGCAATGTGATCCCAAAAGCCCTGAGATTGACAGCCCCAAGGACAGAGAGAGGAGGCCTTCGGAACACGGACACGAGACCAGGTAGCAGGGAGAAAAAGTGCTACCAAGACCAACAGCAGCAGCAGCCGGAGAAGAGAGCACCCAAGAGCGCACGTCATCAAGACGAATGGAGCGAAAGACCTCAGAAGTGAGCTCAGGAAGAGCAGCAACCTCGTGACGCCCAGAAGCACCCCATTTTTGGAAAACCCAAGCCCGCCAACCTTGCCGACAAGCATGACCGGCAGCACCAGTGAGGGTATCCGGGTTTTGACGAGAAGGGTTGACAGAAGCATCCGTGACAGCGGCAAAGGCGTGACGCCAGACCCAAGGACGACCCGCAACTTCAACAAACCCTTTGGATTTCATCCAGGAACGCAAAGCATTAGAAGCAGTGCCAGAAGCCCAGGACCAAGAAGGACAACGACTTTTGGAGAGACGGAAACGGAAGACCGCAGACAGGAGCCGAGTAGCCCAAGTGACATCGAGATGGAGGTTCCCACCGAGAAAGAGGGACCGAAGCCAAGGACTGGTATAGCGACACCTGCGAACAGAAGACCAAAAGCAGGACCAAAGCTTTTTCGAGATAGACCAAGTGGGAGATCGACCGACCCAGCCAAAGTTGACCTTAGAAAGCGAGAACTGACGCAGATACCGAAGTTGGACATCGAGGGAGAAACCACAACACCCCAACAAGCGAGCACACTTGCGCGCAGACTCAAGGCGACTGACCTCGTCAGAGTGCAAAGCACGACGGACAGAGCAAGAGACAGCGCCGAGAACACGCACAGCCGCAGAGACCTTAGAGGGATCGAAGACCTCACTAGCTTCAGCAGTTTTACGCTTACCGGCCGCGGAGACAACGCATTTAGCCAGGTTTTCAACAAGACCGACACTGTGACTCCATTGAGACCACGCATCAGTCATGGAGTTTGATGGCACTACGAGCAGTGCAACTTCTGTCATCCAAGTAAGTTTTGCAAGAAATCTGGTTTGGTTGAGTTTCACAATGAGACAAAACAGTTCTGACACCGGCTTGCACCCACAAACTCATGAGCAACGGTCCCCAGGGATCACCTTGGGGTGGAACACGGCTAGCATCAAGAGTATCTTTGTGGGCGTGATGATCCCACTGCACAAACCTTTCTTGCCGATCCCAAGTGGCAGCCAGCAAATCAACCAAGGCGGAAGGCCACCCATGCGCTTGGAGAAGGCGGCAAGACAAAGAGCTATCCAAGCAGTCAAAAGCCTTGCTATAGTCCATGGTAAGCAAGAAACCGTGCTGGTGAAAAGAGTCGAAAATCTCAATGGTGTTCACATAGATATCGTCTCCAGAGATACCACCAACCTGGGCTGACAGAGTAGATCGAAGCCAGGCGCGGAGAGGAGCACCACGGCAGATGGTAGATGATTTTGTTCCCGGTTCAGGCTATAACGGCCCCTTCTGGAACGAACTTGGGAGTTCTCCATAGTCTTTTCAGAGTTGGATGGACAGGTGATGTACATTTGGCCTTTATGAACTCAAAGTTTATCAAAGTCAGTTTCATCTTTCAACAAATTCATCTATTGATTCATCAAATCAATTTGTTTCCTCTCATCTCCAATGAAGAAAGATTCCATCCATCGCTCTTGACATTTGTGTCCAACTTGAACGAGATTTTGATTCTCACATTTTCAAACTTGATTGATGTCGAACGTTTCCCATCGTAGTACGAAAATAGAGCGACGGCGCTTTGAGCACTTACACTTGTGCCATCTTTGAGTTGCAAGTACGTACATTCATAGTTTGGTTTATAATTTCTTGAGCCTCTCAGATTTAAAATAAAAAATAAATTAGCCCGAAAAATGAGCCCGAGGCAGCCGAAGTATTGCGCCTGCTGCGCGAAATCATCATTGTGTCCAAAATCAAAAGTGACCTCCGTTTTACAAAACGAGACTTTGACCCTGTCAAAAAGGCATCCAAGTTCACCAAGCAGCGCGCCTGCCACGAAAATGACTTCCGAAAACACCGCCCATTCCGACCCACACCTTGCAGAGAGCTCCGCCCCCACCACGCGGATGCAAAAGTGTCCGATGTCCTGCGCCGCACACGCAGACCGACGTTCCAGACTTCAAAGTGCCCCGCATGTCCCACACCTGCCGCACAATATCGACATAACTCAAAAATGGGCACGGCGCTCCAGCAAAATTAGACCTTCGGAAGAGAGGTCTCCACGACAATCGTTTGTGCGAGCGTGCGCACCCGAAATGCACATGGTTGCTTGAGTCACAATTTAGGCTGGGGGACGTATTGTTGGCGCCAAACGCGGGAGGAGGAACCAAGTAGGGAAATGCAAGGTATATATATATATTAAGATATATTATATATATATACATGTTTACATATACATAAACATACGTAAAAGGAAACATTTCGATGTACATATGCATATGCATATTCATATACAGATACACTTACACGACTTGTGAATCCGGAGTTCCATTGTGAACTGACCGCAAAAACTTGCACATGAGAGTCTAGCAAAAGTAATCTTGAGAAGCGGGGTCCATGGGGATTAGTCGCCAAATTGAAATTGGTACAGCTCCCCCGAGCTATGATCTAGGACTGTTCTAGATACGGGGTTTCATGGGAAGGGATCCAAACGTTGAATTTCCCGCGGCTCTCCACCTCTATACCTGGACACCGAGTTCCATGGGGATCTGCAAAACTAGCAAGAGTCATCTTGAGAAGCGGAGTTCCATCGGGACTACTCTAAACGTTGAACTTTTCACAGCGCTGCGTAGCTACTACCAGTAGTACCGCACAAGGCGGTGGTGGAAGTTTCGAAAAATAGGAAACCTATAGGAGAGCTTGGTTGTTGTGAATCAGGGATGGCAAAGGGAAGCCACTGATGGACTGAAAGGTGCTTGATCTCTCTCTCTCTCTCTCTTTCTCTCTTTTTCTCTCTGTTTCTCTATCTTTCTCTGATTATCTACCTACCTACCTACCTACCTACTGATCTATCTGTCTATCTATCTATCTATCTGTCTGTCTGTCTATCTATCTCCCTATCTATCTGTCTACCTACCTATCTATCTAGCTGTCTACTTTTCTACCTATTTGTCTATCTATCCATCTATCTTTCTATCTTTCTATCTATCTATCTATCTATCTATCTATCTATCTGCAAGATCAAACGAAGAAATTCTGCGAGACTTCCTTAATGTTTGAGCATAACAACGCCCAAAACGAAACAATTCTGCGAGACGTCCTATTTTTTGAACTTGACAACATCCGAAACAAAGCAATTCCGCGAGACTTCTTCAATTTTTGAACTTGACAACCTCCAAAACGAAGCAATTCTGCGAGACTTCCTTCCAAAATGGAAAGTTGAGTGCAGAGCTGACAGCCTCGTGCCAATGCGTTTTGCGATTTTTCCAGTCCACCTGTCGAAAGTATTGCGCCTGCCACGAAAAAGTCATGCCAGGTCATACGAAGTGCTGCACCTGTCACGCAAAATCATCTTAGCAAACCTCAAGATCTGATACTCCAAAATGCAACCCCTCTCAGGAAATCAGCGCCCTGACCTCCTAACATCTCTCATGAACATGTCTTTTGTATTGCGCCGGCCACGGAAAATGCATCTTTGCAGATCAAATGTCCCATGCCTGCCATCGTTTTTGGAAATGCCACAAAACCCTCACGTTTTGCTCACTTTTGAAGAGGTGCACAATCCCTTGCGCCTGCCACGCGAAAGCACATCTGAACGTCCCAAAGTGCTCCGTACCCGTCATTTTTTTGCACTTTTGACTTGGAAATATGCTTCGCGCCACGACGGCGTGCACTTTTTCGACATCTGAACTTCCAAAGGTGGTCCGACCATGGTGTGTTTTGTACATTTTGACTTCGAAATGTGCTTCGCGCCACAACGGCGTGCACTTTTTCGACATCTGAACTTCCAAAAGTGGTCCGACAATGGTGTGTTTTGTACATTTTGACTTGGAAATGTGCTTCGCGCCACAACTGCGTGCACTTTTTCAACATCTCAACTTCCAAAAGTGGTCCGATCGCGGCGTGTTTTGTACATTTTGACTTCTAAATGTGTTTCGCGCCGCAACGGCGTGCACTTTTTCGACATCTGAACTTCCAAAAGTGGTCCGACAATGGTGCGTTTTGTACATTTTGACTTGGAAATGTGCTTCGCGCCACAACGGCGTGCAATTTTTTATCTCTCATCCGGCCAGCTGTCTCCGCACCCGCCGCTTTAGCGAGCCTACTTTTCGACCCTCCGGAGCCCCAAACCATTGGAAAAACACAGTGTTTCGCGACTTTCCTACTTTTTCGCGCATCTGCATCTTCTTTCTTCTTATTCTTTCTCTTCTACTCTTCTTTCTTCTAATCTTTCTCTTCTCTCTGCCTCTTCCCTGCTCTGCTTTTCATCTGTCCATATTGTCGGAAGTTTGACTTCTAAACTTCTTTCGATGATCTAGGATTGTTGTAAACACGAAGTTCCATGGTGACTTGCACAAGCGGAATTGCTTCCTGATATGCAATCCTTGTGCCAAAACATGGGTTGTGGAGCCGGAGTTCCATTCTAAATTAACAAAAATTGTGCACGTTGGGATCTTGTAAAAGCTGCGTTGAACGCTGGAGTTCCATGCGGAAGTGCATGGGTAGGCGCACCCAGGCGCACTTTTAGCCTGCCTGCGGAGTTCCATGCGGAAAGCAACGTTTCTACCCAACTAGGCGTGCCTTTCGCCTTCCTTTGCACTTATACGTTTACATGTACATAGACATACACATAGATTTGAAACACATGTTTGGGGTCAATTCTGGTGTAGTGGGCGACAATCACTTTTACACACCAACATGACAAACAAAGTGATGGATGAAACCTGGTTGCATTGGTTGCTTCACCCAGATCAGCACCACAGTTTGTATAAAATACTTTTAATGCAGCTGTAAGACAGCATGAGGACGCGATTGAACTTATCACTTAGATTTAGACTCCCAAGTAACATATCTAAATCTAACATCAATAAATTTTTGGCAAACTTGGGATATTTGGGAACACAACAACTTGGAATTTGGGTCACCATGACCAATCCGTATCCATTTGTCTAGTTTTCCAGGCGGAATTCTGTGTTTCATGGGGTTATTGTGGCTTTCTTAGTCCTGCAAATTAGCAACAAAGGCTGTATTTAGCCAACGAACAGTTCGCAGCATTTGATTCAAATGCACGACATTTTTTTTTGATTAACGGACTGCAGGACACAGAATAAATTCCGTGGTGTGTTGTTTCACTGGTTTTGTTGGCCTAAGGTGGAAAACATGGATTGATCAAACGATTCATGCATTTGTTCAAAGCAACATGTTAAAAAAAATGCGAAAATGCCGTTGTTCCAATTTCCAGCATTTCACATGTTGGCCTGTCCGTTCGGTTTGCATGCTGTGGGTTTTTTTCCATATGGCCAAGGCCCTGGGGTGATGTTGATCAATGTTACGGTTTCCAAGTGGAACGGTGACAGTCAACATTCATCGCATTGAACAGTTTATACAATCAGTTTAAAACTGATGCAATGAAATAGTAATTTCAACTTGATTGAAAATCCCATATCGGAAATGTAATTTTGCCATCACGCAACATTGCTTCGTGTTTTCGGCAGGCAAGTCCACAACTCTTATGGTCCCGGGGTCTTGCTCGGAGCTGCGACGTATTTCCAGATGGTTTCCAGATCAACAAACAAGGCACTTTTGGATATGTTGGCATCTTGTGACAGGTTCAGAGGTTTCACATGAAAGAGGACATGAATAGGGCATAAGGGTGTTTTCCACTGGTACCCAAAACCATGGTTTTGCCATTCAAAATGACAATTTTGGATGATTGTGGATGATTGTGGGGTTCCCGATCTTAATTTAATGCACCCCCATATGGACTGCCATCGTTGTCGCTAGCAATTCCATGGCGGCAGGCCACGAAGTTGGCATTTTCGATTGGGACTCGGTGATGTCCATTGAGGGCCCGAAAATTCTTTACGTGCGACTTGCGCATGTTATGTTCCACAGTTCCACGCTTCACTTTCCAACAGAAGTACCTTGGTTCAATTTGCTTCGCCAGGTGCCCTCCATGGACATGGTGCAGTTCCTGCCACGTTGCTTGAACTTTGGGTTTCGCGTGATCAAAGATCATAGCTTGCCGTAGGCGAATAACGAATTAGATGTGAACATATGTGAACCATTGAAACTTATCGAATCCTCAAACACATGTGTCCAAATGATCTATTTGTCAACTTTCCTCGAGTTTGCTTCAATCTGGTGGTTGTCCAGGTCAGTGTGTTCAGTGTCGACATGGTGATGTCTTGCCATTCGCGCCGTCGAACATTTCAGGTTTCCAACAGGCTCCGTCCTCTGCTCGCATCACGTTGGTGACAGGCCAAGAGGAGCTTGGTTCAAAAAGTGATGAGAAAACTGGACGTGGATGGTTAAAATTGCTGAGAATTTTGGCAACGAACTTGTGCAGATTTTGTCTTTGTTTCTGCGGATTCCTGTGCTAGTGCCCTTGGCGCTTTACTGAATTTCAATTCCTGGGCGCTCTGCAAATTTTGACATTTGCAGATTGATTCAAGAGACACTAATGACATCCGAATTGGACACGGATATCGTGTGAGTGTATACACACAGATACAGCATATGCAATGCATATGCATTATACATCATTATACAATGTTCACATCAGCTTCATAGCTCCGCCATGCTCCGCCATGCTCCGCCATGCTCCGCCACAAGTCAACTTCCCGGGACAAATTGATAACCCACCCTACCAGGCCCTACCATAGCGATTTGTTTTCCCACTTTTCTTCTTTTTCCCCCTGTTTTTTTGAGTCTGACCTCCAAGATCGTCAAATTCCTGAAAGATCTGCATACATCGATTTATGAAATACAAAAAACGTGAAAAGAGGGGAAGCCTTGAACTACCTCGGAACCACAATAAAAGACAAGGTTCTACTCGCCTCAATAAAGTTACTGAAGTTTTCTGTGGGGATTTGGGGTGAATATACTATAATATACTTAGCTTTCAAAATCCCCTTAACTTTAAAGTGAATTACTTTGTTATCTCAACCCTTTTGAAAAACCAAACTTTATAGTGGCGGCCTTCGTAAGTAAAGTGCTTCAATTTTTGGGACTTCAACTTCAAACCAATTTAGATTCTATTTCAATTTCGAGTGGAAGTGCTTAGAGTCAATTCTCATTTCATTTCAATGAAACACATGGTAGTTTTTTGCTTTCAAATTGTCAATTTGTTTCGCAATACAAAAGTGCAAAAGCTTTGTCAATATCTATTTGTTTTCAATTATATACGCAATTTACAACGATTTGTTTGGCCATGCTAAAGGTGAACAATTTTCTCAATATGTGTTCGTTTTCAACTAGTATATAACTAGGCAATTTATTTGGTAATACTACAATGCAAAAACTTTCACGACATGAGCCCGACATGTATCGTTTTTAATTGGGTAATTTTTTCGACAATATATATATATAGATCCTACAAATAATTAATATGTTTGGCCTCAACTTTAGTGGATGAATCTGTTTCAGGGGTTCATCCGATGCCAACAGTATTGTAATATTGTAGAACCTTAGGTGGTTGTGTTAGATCACCTGTGGGGTCCTGATGGCTCCTTTCATCTCCTTTCTCTTTTCGTTTTTTTTCCCGGTCCTGGAGATCCTTTCCGTCTCGAATCCTAGTGCCTTGTCAAAGGATATTGAGCTGACTAGATATCCTCACACCGCAGTCCGCAGGATGTGGGTGTACCGTGTGAACTCTTCCGCAACACATCCTTTGCGAGACCAGAGTTTCTCGTTCTGGTCGTATAGTTTGCACCTGTGCAACCCTGTGCACTCAAGAGCTCTTGAGAGCTCTTGAGAGCTCTTGAGAGTGTTGAGAGTGATCTCGGCATATCTCGGCACTTGTGTAACGTCCGTCACGTTGTCGTCACGTTGTCGAGGTTCTATTCCATTCACCCTTCTGCTCCAACTGTCGAGGTGCAACAAAATGCTGGATTGGCCTTTGGAAAGCACATTGCGCACACGGCGTATACATTGTGAATATACATTGCAAACTTATTGCTGTGGCAACCAAAATAAACAAAACCTGCGATCAGCCTTGCGTCATCTGCAGGCCCGGCGGTGGTCCTTGCTGCCCGAAAACCTGACCAAACTGCTGGCAGACTCACGCTTGCTGCATTGGTTCACACAGATCCATGGCCTACCATGGCTTTCATTGTATGAATTCAAACAATTCGGATGCTGTCGTTGAAGTATGTTGAAGTAGTGCATCACTTTGGGCAGGTGCGAACCCTTTTCCTCATTTTTCTCAAGCAAGTTTTTGTATTTCTTTCATTTTCTTTCAAACCTATGCAGAGCAGAGTGAGTGCCAAGGAACTATGACGCAACAGACTGTCTTGAAGGCTTGCTGCTTGCTCCAAGATCGCAAGGATCTCAAAGATCTGAAAGATGGCAATTGCAAAAAGATGCTGATTCTCAGTCGGGAAGTTTTTTGAAGTCCTGGGCAATTTGGTCTCCATTTTAGAGCGTCAAATGTGGGAATGGTGGATGTTGTTGTATCTGAAATCAGGTTGTGCCATTCTGAATCTTATGCACTGCCCAAAAGTATCATTCGCAGTCGGCAGGCGATGCGTTGAAAAGGATCTCTGCAATGCCTCTGGGATTGGATTTCCACACGAAATCTGAGAAGGTGGAGTTCACAGAGTTCGCCGAGTTCGCAGTTTCAGTCAGTTTTAGTCACCTTCCAGAGTGCCACGGTGCCACGGTGCCACGGTGCCACGGTGCCACAGGCCTTGGATCCGGTGCCGGTGGAGCTGCAAGAGCGCCAGTTGAAGGCAGCTCGACAGGTGGGACGATGTTCGACACGATTCGACACGATTCGACACATGTTCGTCAAACTTTGACAATGTTCGACGATCACTGCGACTGCAGACGATCTGAGCAGATCTGAACAGATATGAACAGATCTGAACTTCTTAACTTCTGAACGTTGAAGGCAGTTGTGCCCTTCCGTGCCCGGTACATGGAGCTGCTGTTTCCGGTTGAGCCACAGCAGCAATGGTCGTTGAACACTTCCAACCAGCAACATCAAAATTTACTAACAGTTAAACAGTTAGACTTTGACATTGCTTGGACATTGCTTAAACATTGCTTAGACAATGTTAGACAGTTGCCACATGAGTTGCCACGTCAGTTGCCACATCTGCCACAGAGCAGAGGATTGTCACAGCAGCTACTGGTGGCTGCCACCTCGTGGGAGCTACTGGTGGCAACCATCTCGTCGGCCTCGTCGGCATGTCGTGTTTCAGTTTCACTTCAAGACTTCCCGGACTTCCCCAAGACTTCCCCAAGACTTCCCGGAAGATTTGAACATGTTTCAAAATGTTTCAAAATGTTTCAAGATGTTTCAAGATGTTTCAATCAAGATGGTGTGGTGGAATGTACAAACATAAACATATGCTCATATGATCTCATATGCAGTGTTTATCCTTATTCCAGGATGAAGGGTTTTTTGCATATGCCACATCAGGTGTTTCTAGGATAGGCTCTCGGTGCTTTTGCATGGAATTGGACAGAAACAAGAACCCCATGGTGAATTTTCACTCTGCAGCTTGATTTGTAGTTCCCAGCCTTTATCATTCGTTATGAACCATAAGAGAAACCAACAATCGGATCATGTTCGATTCAGTTTTCCCCTTTCCACACATTCCACATCTTTCCCACATACTTGTTCCATCCATTTCCATCCTATTTCATGCTTTATCCAGGCAACCATGTGGCCATCGTCGCTGTGCCTGCCAAGTCTTGGGCACTTCCTGGCAACCCGCATCTAGGGCTGCAATTGGCTTCGAGAATCCATTGAATCTGAAAGACTTCTTTGACATTCTTTCACTTATTACATCTTATTACTTAGCAAATTCTGAACTCTGCTGGATTTTGATTTGATGATGGTGTTTTACCGCATCACGAACTTGATTCCGTTGCCACAATTTTCTTGGAAGATGATGGAAGATGTATGACGTGGCAAGTGGCATTTACATGCATATATATATATATATAATACAATACAATATAATATAATATAATATAATATATAATATATAATATATAATATATAATATATATTATATATTATATTATATTATATTATATAATGTATATATATATATTATATATTATATATATATTATATTATATATTATATATTATATATATTATATATATATATTATATTATATTATATTATATTATATTATATTATATTATATTATATATATTATATATATATATATATTATATTATATTATATTATATTAGATGTATGACGTGGCAAGTGGCATTTACATGCATATATATATATAATACAATATAATATAATATAATATAATATTATATATATATATATTATATTATATTATATTATATATATATATGTTCAGCGCAAGGTGCCATGGCCGCGTTTCTTGCAATTGCTTGGCATCGTGGCATTCGTGGCCACACCCTGGGGACATGGTCTTGATACTCATCGCTTTTGGGAGGCCTTGACAGGTATCGCTGGTATCGCTGGAATGATTTGAGGATTTTGAGGGCTATGAGGCCGATTGCAAAGATTGTAAAGTAGTTGCGCAGTCACACCTAGGCTTGACCTTGTGTTGGCTTGTTGGTTACAACGGTTACAATAGGTCTTGCTGTTGGATTCGATTGTGTAAAACCTCAGCCCTGCTGTACACACCAAGCCTTGCAGGTGTTGATGATGGGCAGTGTGCCCGTGGTTTTGTCATCGCCATTGGATCGTCTCTATGAACAGTTGCTCGGGTCCAGCTTGCTTCCTTCCCGGCTTCGGGGGACAAGTCGTTCACTTTCTCAAGTTTTCAAGAGCCGGTCATGATGGTTTGATGTGACTCTAGGAAGGTGGAGTCAAGGACACGGTATCCGACTTTGCTGCGAAGTTTGTTTAGAACTGGTGACAACATCAACCCATCCTTCTGGACGTCAAAGGAAGATTCGAAAGTTAGCGGTCAGATATGTATGCTATATCAATGTATATTACAATATTACATATCATAAAATATCATACATTTATTTTGCCGTCTAAAGATATTCAGATAGAAATGGTTGCGGTCCCCTAGAATTCCCCAGTCTCCCTAGACTCCCTAGACTGGCTCAGGTTTCCAGTGATCATTCTGCAGAATTGGCAGGAGGCGCAGCCCAACGCCACCTGGCATTGGCGTCGGCAGATCCTGCGGCGCTGGGGAAGGGAACCGGTTTCAGAAGAGCTTCTTGGTGTGGAATATGATGTTTTCGACAAAACATGTTGCAAACTAAACCAACTACAAATTTGTTACAGTTTGTTACAATGAGAGAAGGCTTCTGATGTTATGTCATGTTATGTCATTTTTGAAGAAAGGAGGGAGAGGCAAAGCAGATGGATGATGGATCATGTTCGATTTGATAGCAACACCAATTCCTGAAGAGATTCCTGAAGAGTCTTTGGATATAATCAAATTCAGTTTGGGATCTTAATGAGTGACTTCAAAGCGGGTCGACAAGCTTTGCCCATTTGCCCAGGGTGCGACTTCGATTGACCACCGAATTCTGGGCAAAGCTGATTCGTCAGAAGCACCTCGAAGAGCTGACACGGTGAGATCTCAAGACACAGCGGGTACATCAGCGACATCTTCGTCCGAGTGCTTATCCAGGTGATTCAGGATGATTCAGGTGCGACTTGTGGCATTTGCAGTGTACACTATACATGTGTACTTGTCCGTTTCCACTGCAATTGGCCATGTCATTTCATGGTACATGGGGTGCACAATGTGCATGTTTCAAATATACTCACAGTTTCCATTTGGGTGCTGATGAACCTCGCTAGAGGGAGTTGTTCCTACTCGCCCTGAAGTCGACTCTATCTTCGACCTGGCACCTAGCACTGCGTAGCACCGTTGCTTGGTCAAAGTCTTGAACATCGAGCTGATGCTGAAGATGCAGATGCTATCAGATGCTATCAGATGCTATCAGATGCTATCCGATGCTAATGTGACGGACCGTGAGACCGGGTCAGACCACAGGTTGGAGTTCCGAGAATTTCAAAATGTCGTCTGACCCGGTCTCACGGTCTCAAGGTCTCACGGTCCGTCTCCAAGGGATTTTGGCGAATTTGGTGCCGAAGCTTGCTCTGGAGCTGTGCGGGCAGAAAGAGGCCCGGAGGGTACAATGCGTCATGCAGCAGCACGCTGCTTTCTGGCAAAAAAGATAGCCCGAAAACGTGGAAGTTAGGCAGCTGATACTCACATAATCTCACATATCTCACATGCATTGATCACTTTAGTGGTGCCATCCCTGCCAAGCCTTTCCTATCTTTCCTCCATAAGATTTTGGAAAGGAAAGATGGAAAGGCACGAAAAATCTCCGCGCTTTGTGGCTCAAAGCTTCGGCGACATGGTGCAGTCACCACGGGAGTCAGCATGGCTTCCTGATGTGGAGGTCTTCTCCCAAAGTGCGAAGGCATGGCTTCCAGGGCGGGTCTCTCTGCTGGCTGCTCCTGGGAAGATCACCGTGTGCTATTCCCTCGAGGCGCTTTGCGCGAAACATATGAAGCATTGCTCAAAGTTTTGTAAAGCCACAAGCCTACTACAAGCTGCAACATGTCAGATGCGATTCAATTCACCCTTAAACTGGGCTTTCAGAGATTGGTCCCAGAAAAAATTTGGTAGTACAGTACAGCGTTTCCTTGAGTTCATGACCCGTTCAGACACCGCCAGGGCAAGAAGTGTCGCAAGCATCTCAGCCCGTTTACACAGATGATCCGAGTGGAGGACAGGATCGAGGAATCTGAGGAAGAGGCAGATCCAGATCTGTCCTTTCACCAGGCTCGCTCGTTGTCGCTAGTTTCTTGACTATACAAGACTTTTCGATCGAAACACATTGGGATGATGTGTTTATAGGCTGAATCCGTGGCTGAATCCCTGAATGGCGTCAGGTGTTTCGCTTTTTCTTGGGCGACCTCGCAGAGACTCCACAGTACTCCTTGCAGCGGACCTTGGAGAAAGCTGCGCAGATGGAACGACAGCAGAAGCACCAAGCAACTCGCCTCACAACTAGCCTAACTAGCTCCCTCCATCTCCCTCCGGCTTTGGGTTGAATGGGACTTCTCTGGCATTACAGTCAAAGGTTGTGTGAAGTTGTTCATGTATTTCTATGCCAATATCATCCAACCAAAATTTACAACATGTAGTAGGTGGTGGTTAAATTCTTTGTCCTTGCTCTTGGTTCTGAAAGCTTAAGGGTAAGGAAGTTGGAGTGTTTAGATGCCCACCACTTGTAGCCAATTCTATAGACTTGTGATCAATCAAAGTTCTTGTGAACGCGCACACACACACAGACACACAGACACAAATACACATCGCACATCAAGCATCAAGTGTGCTGGGTATCAGCATGTTGGTTTCCAAGCAGGTCTTGATCCGTTCCAAATCCTTCGTTATAAAGGCCTCCTTTGCAATTTCTGCCTGCATGCCAGGCTGATTCCATTGGCCGTTCTTTCCCCATCGTGGCAAACATCTTTCACATTTCCCGAGGATTCCCCTTTGCATTCTATTTCACAGGTTGGGATGCTGACGAAGTGTTGGCCCTGAGAGCCCTCTCATCAGTTGGAGGTTTCCTTTTCGTTTGTTTTGTCAAAAAATCGTCACGCTCAACTTGTCATGACTCAGGCACGCAGTATTCATCCTGCGTCTGCAACAAGAGCACGGGAGATTGCCGTGGAGGCGAGAGAGAACTATCACCATTACGGCGTGCTCTTTCTCGACGAGGTTGGTGCCAGTCATCTTGTTTCATCCAGTTTCATCGTCTTTGCTGACATGTTTCAACACCCAAAGCCAAGTGACCCAGTGACGTGAGCTGACGTGAGTGGTAGAGCCTGGTAGAGACTGTTGATATCACGGAAGGAGAACCCAGAGTTCAACGAAAAGCTCCAGCGTCGTGGCATCGTTCGACTGGCTTCGCTTCCTGCAAAGCTCATTGATGGAAGGCCACGAGCACGTGATCTGAGCTGAAATCGATATCATCTTTGGAATCCTACAGTCAGGAGTCAAGCGGAGCATTGGCGAATGGTTCAAGAATTGTTTGACTGTCAAATAAAATTGTGAGACTTCTCGTCCATCCAAGTGGACTCAGGTGACGTTTTCCAAGGAGCAGAGGCCCACAATTGTGGCTTCATGGCTGCATTGGCTGCGATTGCAGACCATGAAGATGGCTATTTGGTCCGCCACTTGCTCCAGCAGAACGAACACGAACACAACGACGATTTGTAGCTCGGCAGATGTTGAGTCCGAAAAAAAAGAAAAGATCAACTTTTCTCACGGAATTTGGCCTATGCCCAGTATGTCTGGTGACACACACACACACATATATATAATACGATTATATATTATATAGTTATCATTATTGTCATCATTATCATTATTATTATTTATTATTAGTACTATATATAATATATTAGATAATATATATTATATATTATAGATTCTATATTATATATTCTATATTATATATTACATCTTATATAAAATATTCAATATATATATAAATATATATGTATATCATAGATAGATAGATGGATGGATGGATGGATGGATGGATAGATAGATAGTTAGGTAGGTAGATAGATAGATTGACCGATCGATAGATAGATAGATAGATAGATAGGTAGGTAGGTAGGTAGATAGATAGATATATCGAATAGATTGATCGATCGATAGATCGATAGGATAGATCGATAGATCGATCGATCAGCTAGATAGATAGGTAGGTAAATAGATGGATGGATAGACAGATAGATCGATAGATCGGTAGATCGATAGATTGACAGATCGGAAAGATCGGAAAGATCGGAAAGAAAGAAAGAAAGAAATAAAGAAAGAAAGAAAGAAAGAAAGATAGACATGTAAATGCACACCACCACAAAACACCATGTATGATAGCATTACCATGTAGCGTCGCTGCTCAGTGAAAAGAGAGCTTAGCTGGCTTAGCTGCCGCTTACCGGTTTTAGCTTTAGGCTTATCAGTCCTTTTGGGTTTATAGGCATTGCCCCTGCTGAAGCCTGAAAATACAGGTTATCAGCCGTAGTCTCTAAAGCTATGGAGAGATCCCTCGGTGATGGATCTGGTGGTTCTGGTACTGGCAGTGCGTTGGTCCCTGCAACTGGTTCGGTAATCCCCACAGGTGGTGCTCCAGCGGCGAATCCGGCTGGAACAAACCCCACACCTATGACTGTAGATGATGGTTTTTTTTTACGAACCAGTTCAGGCGTACTTTCAGTGTGTGCAGGACAATTTCACTTACATCAGTGAGGTAAACATCGACCTGTTTAGACAGGAAGCGGAACAGAGGATGTCAGGATTATGAAACCCGTAGTCTGAACGTTGAGTAAATGTGTTTCAATGAAATTGCTCAACAACGCGCAGAAGCTGACACCCGACATGAGCAGATGGCATCAGAACTAACTGGATTCATGATGTCTCGCAGCCGCACAGTAGCTGAACAGGAAAATTTGAACTTGAGGAAGGAGCTCAGTGAAGCAAACGCCAAACTGAACTGCAAATGCCGTAGCGCTGGAAGCAGAGCAAAGGGCGAACCAAAAGGTTTCCCATGTAACTAGCCAATAAGAAAGCAGGTACTCTGAACTCAAGACAAACCTGGAATGCAAGAAAATCGTAGATGAAACAGTCGACTATGCAAGGCAACGAATGGAGGAATTCAAGAAGGAGGAGCATCAAGGGTTTCCAAGTTTTGTCATGTATAGTACAAGATTTGGGAAACGCAGCAATCAAGAAGTGAGAAGTGAGGCTGCTGTATGCATTGAGGAAGCCACCCCAATTCCAAACCAGAAAAGAATCTATTTGCTGGTACTCTACACCATCAGCATGCAAAAAGAGTGGTATGGTGAGAGACTTGTCCTGCACCTTTCCTTTGGCAACCCCAGTCCTTTTGTCAAGGCATATGGGGTGAGCCATGAACCTGTCATCGCTCACATACTCTACACCTCTCCGAAAACTGTCTAAGTCTTCCACACCAAAGATTTTGTCAAACTGGTCTGGATAGTGGTTGAAAATGTTTGAAAACAGCAGGTGAGGGAGCATGACGCCAGCCATGTCCAAACAAGGCTTGGAAGTTTTAGGGCCTTGGCATTCTGTTTCCACAGATATTCCTTTGCTGATCCGGCAATCTTTGAGGAATTGTGCACAAATATCTCTATGCACATTTCCTCCCTGGGCCCCAAACGGCCCTGTGGCTGCTATTCTGTGAAGGTCTTGGCCTTGAGCACCATCTAAAATGGCTTTGTGTGCCACTTCCTGCACTAGCTTGGCACTCAGCTGAGCAGTGATCAAGGAGATGAGAGAGGAATGCAACAAGCAAGAAGAGCAAGCTGCAGAACACAATTTTCAATTCCAGGAACGGGTAGATGAACTTGTAGAAAAGTTGAACAAGCAAAACGCCCCTACGCTTAGGATCGAGGAACTTGATCAAGGTGCAGGTGACATCCTAATCGAAGTGTTTGCAACGCCCAAAGGTCCTGCGAGCGCGGAGGCTGGGGCAACGCCCATGCCAAACACAGCAAAGAGTAATCTAGCTGCGGATGCAAGGGGGAAGTTGCACAGTTTGTTCACTACTGCTACCCCAGCAGGATCAACCGCTCCCCCACAACTTCCACCATTGCTAGTGCAGAGACAACCACACGAAAACGTGAATCAAGAACCTAGTGTGCGAAGCCCGGTGATTGCAGCTAGCGAACCCGACAAACTCAAGACTGCAGATGTAGGTGCTGGTCTTTCTGGACAACAGCTTTTGGATCTCATCAGTAGGCTAACATCAAAAGATTTAGACGGTGAGAAGCTCCGAACAAAAGAGGCAGAGACCATCAAGCTGAATGACATGCCTGCCCCTGAGGCCTATCTCCATTGCCGCAATCACGTCAGGGATGAGGTGAAGTCGTGTTCGGACAAACCTGATGAGGCTTGGATTTGGCTCAATGAAGTCTTGGACAACAAGACCCCTCGGGAGAAGTTGGAAGAGAAGCTGCAAGATCCGGGTAAATTCATCACTCTTGAGACAAAGTTGTCGGCAGCGTTAACTCGCTCAGCCAAGGTGATCTAGCAACCAAAGTTCACAATTTCAAAGATGAAAAGTCAAGGAGCGGAATCCAAGTCAGAGGTAGGAGAGTCCTTTTGATGTTTGAAGACTACTTCAGGACGTCTGAGGAAGCTGGCAGTCTCTACTTGCGCCATGCATCACTCAAAGGTATGCTTGTATTGCAAAGGGTAAAGGGTTGCCAAAGGCTACAAAGGCCATGAAATTTTCAATGTCACAGGGCTGTTGTGTTCTCATCAAAAGTGGAATACATCAAGATCCCCGCAACTGGTGAACAGCATCGAATGTATGACAACAACTATCCCATTGCGGAGTCAGTACCAAAGCCTGACAGGTTGGTTGCCCATCGTGCACAGGTCATTGCTTGCCAGCTGCAGGAAGTCATCAAGCTCTTCAACTGTGACCCGCAGCCCAAGTGCCGTTTCAGATGCAATAATGAGGAAGGTAGTACAACATGTAACCACTGCAGATCATTGATTGGTCACAAGAACAAGATTAGCAATATTCATTTGCCAACAGTTGCAGCACCAGCATCAAAAGATGGATGTGTTTGGTTGGTTGATACTGGTAGCGAACAGGATCTCATCAGCGAAAGCATGCTGAACACGGCAAAAGCCACAAATCGTCGTACCAGTGATGCTCCGATCAGTCTCACAACTGCAAATGGTTCCACACGAGCGGATGAGGTGGCCGACGTAAGGGTCGATGCCATGCACAAGCCATTCACTCCATACATCCTTGAAGAAACTCCGGCAGTGTTGTCAGTAGGAGTTCGGTGTATGGAGCAGGGATATAGCTTTGTGTGGCCGGCAGACGGAAAGCCGTACTTCATCTGTCCAGATTTAGGAGTCATTGAGCTGAGTGTGGATGGCACAGTTCCTGTGATTGACTCGTCATGTAGAGCGCTCAGCAGCAAGCAGTTCAAAAAGGACTGCAGCTTGCTGAAGCTCTTTGCCATGGTTTCCGCCAAGGCAGCTGAGCCCGAGGAGGAGGGTGTTGATGAAGGAATCCTTCCTGATAGCGAGGCCGAGCACGTTCGTACTCGAAAGGCTGCAGACCTTGAAGCAGAAGCTTGTAGCGGTTCCCATCAGTTTTGATATCATTGTCGCTGACCACACTGTAGTCAAAGCTAATGTTGAGGAAGGCGCCAAAGGTGAAACGGTGGCATTGGTCATGAAGGACGGCCACACACAGTTTCGACATGTTTACCCAAGTCAAAGTAGCTGCTTTCAACCACTTTCTGTCGCACAAGGACGAGGTAGATGCAATGTACACTGACAACTCAAGAGAACTGATTTCGACAATTGGGGGGGAACTTGGAGTTATCGCCATCAAACATCAACTGAGTATGTAGACAGCCCGAAATCTTTTGTTGAGAGAGAGATCCGACACATGCTTGAGGGCACTCGGACAAACTTGGTCCAGTCGGGTCTTCCGTTGCAGTATTGGCCACTTGCAAGGCAACATTTTTCGATTGCAGTGAACGCCACTCCTCAGTTGAATGGTGATGATGCCGCATGGAAACTCAGGTTCGACGAGGATTTTCCGGGTCAGTTGATTCCATTTGGTACAAAAATACATAAAAATACTATTTTGGAACAATCCAAAGAGGGCTGACAATTCTTCCGGAAAGATGTCCCCTACTGCGAATGACGGTGTGTTTTTGGGATACCATATTCAACCTGGTTTTGCATGGAAAGGTGAGTCTCTTGTAGCCAAGCTTGAGGCATTGGACTACCATGTTGAAAATGGCAGCATCACCGTGCAGCGTGCACGACGAGTAGAGCTCATTGCAGGAGGATTCGCCTTCCCACCCCCTGCATTGAAAGAGGCAAAGAGCCCAAGCCAGATCGTCTTCAAGACAATGTTATTGCTGATCCACGTCCACTTCCATTTCAATCACCACTGCGAGCGGATGGACAAGCTGAACAGAGTGAAGAAGCAGTTGACAAATTAGCGGAGGCAGTACCTAACGTACTTGCCGAGGATGACAGACCAGCTGAAGAGAAAATCTTTCCTGAGATATCCTGAGATCACATATACTCCAACTTTAAAGTTCATTCCGGATGGCTACCGTGGGGGTGGCATTCGTCTTGTGAAGACATACCAAGGGCCAAAGTGCCCAGGTTCGATCCCATCAGATCTGTGGAGAATGAGGAAGCCGAGAAAATGGCAGGGGGTGGCAGTGCATCATCAAGCTCTGCCACAAAGGGTCCGAAGAAAAAGAAAAGTACCGCAGCAACTGCGAGGAAGCTTCGGGTAAACCCTAGCCCCTCAGGTGAGCCAGGAACTGCACAGTGTTGGGAAGTCATGGTACCAAAAAGTCATCCGGTACGGCCGCGCAGACTGGGAAGAGAGCTAGGCCAGCACGGTGCAGATGATTGTTTCTGTACAAAGCCACATTTGGTGTTTCCCCCAGTGTGCATTTGTGGTCGGCAAGGCAGGGTATAAAGCCCTCGCCATAGTAAATTGGCAGTCTTGCTGACCTGAGGGGGGTGTAAATGCACACCGCCACAAAGCACCATGTATGATAGCATTACCATGTAGCGTCGCGGCTCAGTGAAAAGAGAGCTTAGCTGCTGCTTAACGGTTTTAGCTTTAGGCTTAGCAGTCCATTTGGGTCTATAGGCATTACCCCTGCTGCAGCCTGAAAATACAAGATAGGTAGATAGATAGGTAGATAGACAGATAGAAAGATGGATAAATCGATAAATCGATAGATCGATAGATCTATAGATCGATCGATAGATGGATAGATAGATAGATGACAGATAGATAGATACATAGATAGATAGATCGATAGATAATTAGTAGATTACATAGATTAGATTAGATTAGATTAGATCGATAGATACATTGATTCTATAATGGTATTAGTCTGTTTTAGTCACTTGGGTATGCATTTGCTTTGTGAGTGTTGCCTCAGTCTTCTCACAATCGGAAAATGGCTGCTGTGTCTTGACATTTCTAGAATTCTGTGCTGTGTCAGGAATGCTGAAGGTTGCTATCGAGTGTCTCTGTTTCTCAACACCAGTAGCAGAAACCTGGAGAAATATCGGCAAGTTCATCCCAGCTTGATTGCGTCAGAGCAGGAGGTCTTCTTTTCAAATACGAGGCCTCTACCCCTCTGTCAAAGGTGTTTTTTTTGGTGCTTGGCCTCTATGGTCGCAGTATGTGATGCAGTGGGAAATCCCTGATCCCAGATGGTCTTTCCGAGTTTTGATTTCATTTTTCAACTTCTCAGCACTTTCAACACTTTCAACATGTCAACACATTTTTCAGGTAGAATTCTTTTGCAATTTTCACCGAGCTTCAGGCTTTTCATCACTTTCACATACTTTCACATATTTTCACATATTTTCAATCTTTCACGACAGGAACTCCATCAAGGCCGCGACTCGCGGCTCCTGGCGGACCGTGGTCGTTGATGATGTCGTGCCGGCCGACTGTAACCGTCCGGGATGGCCGCGAGCGTGTCGACCGAATGGACCTCTGTGGCCCAGCGTGATCGAAAAGGCCTTCGCCAAGGCATGTGGTGGCTATGAGAAGATGGATTTTGTGCCTCGTAAAAAAAAATCGAATCCTGGTGATATTTTTTTGCATCGCAACATCGGAGTGGTGGATTCTTTAGATGATCTATTCACAACCAAACATTTTGGGGTGAAGACTGCCAAATTGAACCCATCAGCGTGGATTTGTGATGAGTTTGATTTCTGGATCCGTAGCAAGGGTTCCCGTTTATTTTGGGGGTCTGGGGGTTGAGGGTGTGTTCGCTCGACGTTGCGTTTATGTTCGCAACCGTTCGCAACCGTCCGCGTGAGGGCCGTATGGCCGTGCCTATGGGAAGTTCTGCAAAAGGGGTCATTTTTGGAGGTTTCAAACGCCGCGTTGCTTCGTTTCGCGTGGCAGGCGTGGCACTTCGCGACATTCAGACGTGTTTTGTAACGTGTCGAAAGTCGTTTTGTGTGGCAGGGGCAATACTTTTGCGACGTTTTTAGAAGATGTGTTGCAGTTTTCTTGGCAGGCGCAGCACTTTGGACGTGCCCATCGTCATTTTGCGTGGCAGGTGCAGCAGTTTAGGCGTGTCGTGTTGCGTGTTTTTGCGAATCGCATTGTCAGGGCTGCATCAAGTGGCGACAAGGTGCAAATTCCGTGGCAGGCGTGGCATTTTGTGAGCAGCTGTGATGAAAATTGACGGAAGCCTCGCACGAGACATCGATTTTGAGGTTGCAAATTTTGACGTTCTAAGTAAAACTCGTCGGAAAACATCGATTTTGAAGCTACAAAGTGTGAAAATTGGAGGAACTCTCGCGCGAAATGCTCGTTTTTATGCTCCCACCTGTCTCGTCTCGAGTCTCTGGTTTTCCTGTGGCCTCGCCGTGTGTATGGGGGAAGCTGCAAAACCTCTCCTTTTCGAAGGTTTCCAAGCAGGTTGCCATGTCGTTTTGCGTGGCAGACGCAGCGCTTTGTGGCATTCCAACCTGTTTGATAACGTGTCGACAGTCGTTTTTGTGTGGCAAGCGCAATACTTTTGCGTCGTTTTCACAAGATGAGTTGCAGTTTTCGTCGCAGGCGCAACATATTGGAGATCTCTAACGTCATTTTGCGTGGCAGGGGCAGCACTCCACACTCCACACTCTACACTCCACACTCCACCCTTTACACTTCACACTCCGCACTTTACATTCCACACCTTACACTCTACACTCCACACTCTACACTGTACACTCCACACTTTACACTCCACACTTTACACTCTACCTACACTTTACACTCCACACTCCACACTTTACACTCTACACTCTACACTTTACACTCTACGCTTTACACTACACTTTACACTCTACCCTTTGCAGTCCGCACTTTGCACTCCACACTGTGCACTCCACACTTTACAGTCCACACTGTGCACTCCACACTCCCCACTTTACACTCCACACTCTACACTTTACACTCTACGCTTTACACTCCGCACTCCACACTCTACCCTTTGCACTCCGCACTTTACACTCCACACTGTACACTCCACACTTTACAGTCCACACTGTACACTGTACACTCCACACTCCCCACTTTATACTTTACACTCCACACCCCACACTTTTCACTCCACACTTTCCGCTCCACACTCCACATCCGCACTTTACACTTTAGACTCCACACTTTACACTCCACACTCCACGCTATACACTCCACACCCTACACTGCACACTCTACACGCGACACTCCCCACTTTACATACACTCCACACTTTACATTCCACACTCTACACTTTACACTCCACACTCTACACTTTACACTCCGCACTTTACACTCCACACTTTCCACTCTACACTTTGCACTCCACACTCCACACTCTACACTCCACACTCTACACTCCACACTCCACACTCCTTACTTTACACCCCGCACTCCACACTCCACGCACTACATTCTACACTCCACACTCCAGCACGCACTGCACTTTACGCACTCCACACTCCACACTCCTCACTCCACACTCTACACTTTACACGCCACACTTTACACTCGACACTTTACATTCTACACTTTGCACTCCACACCCCACACTCTACACTCCACACTTCACACTTTACACTCCACACTCTACACTTTACTTTACACTTGACACTGTTTCACTCCTCACTTTACACTCTTCACTCCACACTCTACACTCCACACTCCACACTCTACACTCCACACTCTACACTTTACACACTCTGCACTCCAAACTCCACCCTTTACACTCCACACTCCTTACTTTACACTCCACACTCCACACTCTACACTTCCCACTCCACACTCCAGACCCCACACTTTACACTCCACACTCTGCACTTTACACTCCGCACTCTACACTTTACACTCTACGCTCCACACTCCACACTTTACACTTTACACTTGACACTCCACACTGTACACTCCATAGTTTACACTCCAGACTCTACACTCCACACTGCACACTTTGCACGCCACCTTCTTCTATATTCCAGAGCCTACGGTGCATTGGCATGGTAACAGGGGAAACATGTACAAGACTGTTCAAATAAACTCTTTGAGAAAAGTGTGCTGCGTGACTGCATTTCCATGTGTTTCGACATCTGTGCCATTAACATACGTGTGAGCATTCGGGTTCGTGAACTGCATCGATTTTTTTCGAAAAAATATCTTCATTTTCTCTTTCTTTCACCAATATTTTTGCTTTGATTTGACATTTACCTTATTGAGCTCCAACATTCGCTCCATTCCGGATTCACTCACGGATTCATGCAGATTCATGAAAAAAACAGATTCATTCATGCGTTTCACATTCATTCGGTTTCATTCGTATGAAATCGCGTTGATTCGGCATTTGTGCCTTCCTGTCGATTTGATGCGAATGCTCCATTCAGGTTCTTTTGTGTGATTCTCATGCATCCATGTTTGAATGCATTCAACTAGGATCCTTCAAGTGCTTTTCATGTCTTTCATTTGGTCATTTATGGAGTTGTTTTTGCATGTAATCTCGTCTATTGACTGCGACCAACCATTCTCTTAATAGTTACACTTTTTCACTGTAGGGTCTGTAAACGTTCAGTCATGTCTTGCATCTTGAGCATTGTGTTCATTCCATTTACATCCATTTACTGTTCAGTCAAATCGGTAACTTTTTCATAGGTTTAATGACTGGACCGATTGCCTTGCTGATTGACATGTTACTTTTGACTTTTGGTCATGCGCTGACCTGTCTCCATCAGCTCTGACGAGGTGGATCTCACAGATGCTCTGGTAATTTTGACGGGGCAGAGCACCTTTCGCATCGAATTGGCACGACTGGAAAACTCTGCACACAAGAAGCTTCTTGTCATTTTTGGAATCACCGCTAGAAAAAATTGGAAAACACATCACTGCCATGACACAAAAAATTGAAGCATTGAACACTTTCCAGAGATGTCTACAGCACAATGTGTCTACCCTGTTCCAGGCTATTCAGGGACCTTTGCGAGTACAAAAGACGAGGGATTTTGGTCACTGCTGGCATCTTGCAGCCTGAGGCAAGTTATCTTGTCAGCATTGCAGGTTTTTTCTTATATTTTTAGCAATGTTGGGATGCTGTTTCTTGATTTACGAAATGAATTTGGTGTTCAGAGTTGTCGAAGTCTTTGAACATTTGCTTGATATATTGCTAGAATTTGCTAGATGTCTTCGTATGAATTCGGATTCGGCGTGGGACGGCAGAGGCTCGGGTGTTGCCAAATGGCTTGGTGACCAAGCACGCTTACACTCTGCTGGACTTAGTACCTGTCTTGGACCACACCAGGAGGTGGGATTTGCTCTCGGGAAAGGGACATGGTGGGACTTGACCAGAGCGGACAGGAGCACACTCAGATGTTAGGGCTGTTAGGGTAGCCGCTGCCAAGTAGCATCAAGTAGCGCCAAACATGAATTGCTAAGATCCATCTGTGCACCATCTCTTCCCGGCCAGCCTTCAGCCACTGAAACACGAATACAGTATACGATGTATACGATGTATACGATGTATACGATGTATACGATGTATACGAATACCACCAACATTTGCCAACTTCACCCTCTCACAGATTGCTGACGCTGGTGAAATTGCGGAACCCTTGGGGCCAAAATGCCTGGTGTGGTGACTTTGGACCAAAGGCAGATTGGGGGCATGGGGTTGTTGAAATCCAGAACAACCTTGACAACCTTTACGACCCTGAAAGGAATTGGCAAATGAGTTGGCAAAAATGAAACAAAGAACGCAAATGAACCTGGTGAATGTGTGGTCACAATGTTGTCATATCTTGTCATATCTTGTAATGTTTGTGACTGGAAGGATATGCGGTGGGATCCTGAACTGCACTGGAGAATCCATGGCGATGATCCTGGCGTCTTCTGCATGTGTTGGGAGGACTTTTTGCAGAACTTTACCAAGTTGCTCTGTGCGAATTCAAGTGAAGATTTTTCATTTGTTCGTATCTGCCCCTTTGCCAAATTTTGTCCCTTTAAAGGTTGTCTGAATCTTACTATAAACCATTATAAACCTTCCTTTTTCTTTCTCAAGGAATGGCCAGGAGCAGAGTCTATTTGGATCTCTTTGGCTCCCACTGAGGATTCATGTTTGCCAAGTTGGAGATAGTGCCAGTGCATGGCCATGAGCGCTGAACGTTGACATCCTCAGAGAAACCTGAGGTATATAATCGATTGTAGAAATTGTAGACTGCAGATGTGAAATTCATATGCAGCAAGAGGGTGGATTGGCTTTGATGCACATGCACAGACTTTGCAAAGAACTTAAAGACTGGGCCAGCACTGGCCAGCTTCACCTTCGCTGAATTCATAGGCCACGAGAAGAGGGTCGTTTTCGGTGAAAGGGCACCGACCTTCCTAGCTCAGTTTCAAAATTTGTCACTGCCATCATGACTGCCATCAATAAATGATAATAAATGTATACAATGAGATACAATGAGCCTGGGAAGACAAGCTACCAAATTGGCACAACTTGCCGCGCCAGTAGTCTTTCAGTCTTTCTATCTCTTTTCCACAATTTTGTGTCTTCGAATTTCCTGTCAGCGCTTCGCAGAAGCGAGCTCGCTGTCGAATGAGCCATGCATGAGACTAGTGAACAAGGGCTTTGCACTGAATTTCGCTGACTAATTTTCTTGACATCCTGTTTGAGAGAAGGACAACTATGTATAAGTCGTATAAGTGTGAAATTCCTGTCATCCTGAGCTTTACGGAGATCTCTTGCATCGCAGCCTGACCTCCCATTCCAATCATTGATCCGGTTCGATCGGCGAGTTCGCCATGCCGAAATCTGAAGGATCAGTGCAAGGCGGACACCGGGACAGCTTGCGCTTGTGACTCACTGTGCTTGCGCTGCACTTGTGCTGTAGGCCCCCATTGCGTGGTCTTGGATGTCCGTGTGGAAGGTCAGATCGTTTGAGCAGTTGCAGTGAGCAGCATTCACAGCAATGGCAGCTGGCAACCCCCAAGTAGCAGCCAGGTGCGCAAAAGCTCGTGGGCTGCTGGTTGCGTGCTTTGCGGCAGGCTTGTTCAATGTCATTTTATGATTACTTTCAGTTTCAGAAACGACTCGCATGGGGTCAGAAGGCATTGGTGTACGAGCAGATGAACATGCCGCCCAGAATGCACTATTTTTCGTGTTGAGTAGCTTTGGCAACTTTGAATCTTGAGATACCTAGGTCCATCATTTCTGTCCATGATGACTACTATGTGTCTTGGCAATTCTGGGATATCTTGGCATCGTTGCATCGGGGGTACTGTGCAGCTTAGTGCTTCATGTGCCTAGGTGTCTCGCTTGCCTTTGGCATACAGCAGCGAGACACAGGTTGCCAAAGCATTGGAGAATCTGGAGCAGGACCAGCTGGGCCAGCTCGACCAACATAAAAATGTCTGCTCAAATTTAGATGTCAGATTGATATAGATTGATATAGATTGATCAGATCCATCAGATCGATTGCGCATTCTCAGACCGCAAATGACCTTGAAGGACTGTGTTCTGCAACCCATGGGCTTGGCAAGCTGGCCAGGCTTGATTTCTGGAGTTGAATCCATATTGTCAATAGAGTCAATACGTTCTCATTTTGCTGCTTTTTCCTCCTTCATCTTCGGTCCGAATTTTTGAGTCTGATTTCTCCTCCTATCTTGCTGCCTGCTCTAGCACGGTGTTTCATGGAAACAAATTGAGTTCAGGGAGAACGTCAAGAGAATGTCAAGAGAATGTCGAGAGAATGTTGAGAGACGGTGAAGGTTAAGCCTCATTGCTGATCCAACTCTTAGTGTGCAGGTTTGGTGCCAGAACACCTTGCTGGATTGACGCAAGGACTACCTGTGGGGTGGGGATGCTCATGTGGCAAAGCCAAGCAGGAGGAATGGTTTGGAATAAATTTGGAGCCTAACTTTTCCGACAGATGGCATAGATTGGCATAGTGTGACACCCTCACTCGTAACTTGCTGAGGTCTCACGGTACCAAGAAGCGAAAGGCACATGTCTCGCAACATGCTTCACTTGGGATTCACAGCATGCACCATCCATGACCATCTGTGCCCCATATTCAATGCATTCAATGTATTCACTGTTCTGACTGTATTCACTGTTTTGACTGTTCTGACTGTTCCCATTCACCCTTGAAATTTCGAGTGTTTGATGTTGCAGCTTGTTGCAGCTTGTTGCAAGGCTGATGGTCGACTCTTTGCCATCGGTGAGGATGCCGGGCTGGCTGCTTTACGGTCTGCAGGGCAGGCTCTGGCTGCAGAGGCTGAGAGCCAAAGGGGTCGTTGGAACATGTTGGAACATGTTGGAACAGAGGATGGGGGAGCCAGGGAGCAGAGTTGCGGATGTTTCAGGCTTCCGAGCTGTCCAAGCTTCATTTGAGCATCTAAGCATGTTCTGGCAGGTTGGGGATGGGCTGCTTCAATATTGGACAGTAGATGCCACAAGGCACGGTTTTCGGGACAAGGTGCTCGTTCACATTGGGATTTGGATGCACGTCATATATGACAGATTCAGAGCAAAAGCTTGGTACACAAGAAAGAGACTGCAGTTGAAGGTTTCTAAACAAAATAAAAAATAACTTTAGCTCTTTGGCTCATCTTTTCGGCGTTAATCAACCCCGTTTTCAGCTCAGGTTGTTTCCCGTCGCCGCAGACGTTGTCAAGTCTTTGCCCTCCAACATCGCGCTTGAGGCCAGTTTTACTCTTCCTTGGCTTTCAAATTCAGGTTGAGAGAGGGGCCATAGTTGAATGGAAGCATGATTTCTGATATCTGCACCATCCAAAATGGATGAAAACAGCAAAAAAGAGAGTCCAGAGTCCAGTGCTCTAAAGGAGACAAAACATGACAAAACAACAAGAAGAAAGACAGGAAAGACAAGAAAGACATATGAAAGACATCACAAAAAGGACTAGCGAGCTCAAGCTTCGAAAGCGAGAGGTCGTCCTGGCAGTCTCTGAGTCCGATCAGCAAGAAGTGAAGGCATTGGACCATTGGATAGTTTTTGAAAAAGTGTTGTCGAGTCGGGATGTGGCGCTGGCAACAAATTCCTTGCCAGATCAAGCTTTTGCAGCAGGAGCTGACTTCCAAGGCGTTTTCGAATATTTTTGATGTGGTGTCCAACGTTCAATTTCCGTTTGCTCAAGCGCGTTTGTTACACATTGTTCGATGGTCAGGTTCGATTGGAATCACTCTTGTTGGCCGATGCCACCGTGGCTCGGAAGGCTCTCGCAATGCAAAGCAAAGATGACTTCCTAAAGAAAGGAAAGAGTTTTAGAATTTATGCACTTGATATGGACTTGATTTATCTTGATTTCATGCGGGCTGGCAATGGCTGGCACCAGGCCTTTCGAGAAGCTTTAGAGACACAAGGGTATAGCCTTGGCATGTCACTGTACGCCCGCGTTGTGAGTAGCGCCATGTTGCTAAAGTCTAAAGAGGAACGTGACAACGTAGTGACCGCCCCCACATCATGAGAGGGTCGTCTGAAGTGAAGCCAAACCGTTTCTGAAGTCCATCCCACTGATGCCGTCTTGCACAATACAACCTGGTCACAATCGGTCACAACCCCTCCAACAGAAGTAGCCGAAAGTCTCTCTGAGCCAAGCTCAATGGAATGTTGCGTACAGGCAAAGTTGTTTGGCACTGTGTCGAAACAATCGAAATCACAGTCTGGGTAGTGCTAAAAACTCAATAGGACCAATTTTTCAGCATGTCTCTTTGCCATGAGCGACCCGCATCTTAGGGACGCGAGGGTTCGCCGATTAGTGAATTAAAACCTGATCCAAACTGATCCTGCCTTTTATTCCCAACAGCAGTGGCTGTTGGGTTTCAATCTCTGCCCAAAAACTGGAATGGAACCGCAATGCTGAAACCCTGGAACCTCGGAACCTGCTGTTGGGTTACAAAGCTAGGCAAATTTGATTTGACAATTTGAAAAAGCACAATGACTGATGTTTTTATGATGTTTTGAATTGGATCTTGATGTTAAAATATCTTTGTTCAAATTTTTTCTACATACCTTTATCAAGTTGCTCAAGTTGGGGCTCTTCAGTGTTGTGGTGAGGTCTTGGAACCCTTTCGCCGTAGTTGGCCTATGCAGCTTCGACTTCCTGATCGATGCCTCGCCCTGTGCTGTTCCCAGATTCTCAGAGAAATGGTAGGACAGGGATGGACAGGGGTACTTTTGCCGTATTTTGCCACCTTTTACCGGGTAATAACATGTAATAACCTCCGAGCCGAAACATCTGAAAAGTATTTGAACAGTGTCCTAAGGCGTGCGCGCTCTGCTGTGCTGCTGCCTAAGCAGTGGATGCCACAAGGTGGGGCCCCCGCAAACACATCATAACTGGGGCCCACAAATCCAAGGCACAGGCACAAGGCATCACAAGGCCGCAAGGCCCTCATGTTTTGGACCCCTGCATTTTGGCTCCAAACGTTAGGATCGCCACCCTGCATCGAGATAGTGTCAGAGGCGGGATTTCCAGTTGCGTTCGTGTTTTCTTTCCCTTCACATGCGCAACAAGAGATCAGTGATTCATAAAAGAGGTGCATTCATCAGCATTGCATCAGCAACTCCGTGTGAAGAAGTGTCAGGTACCTTTGGCTCGACTGAGTTGTGAGCTTCTATTTGGGGCACCGATCTTCTTGGAGGCAGAGTCTCAGGCCAGGCAGCATGGTGCAGCTTCCAAATAGATAATAATAGAGATATAGATCAACTTCTTCAACTTCTTCTGAGCCTCTGAATATCTAGGACACTGAGATGATGGAGGCAGGACATGGGAAAGGAATCCGCTGCGCCGTACAAATCCAACGCCAACATACAGTACATGGAAGAGTCTGAAAGCATATTGGAAGATGCAAACGCATCCATTTTGCCATGCTTTGCCCAATTTTTTTACAGCTCGTGAGACTGGACTTTAACTCAGTTTAACCGACTCTGACTCTTCCCGTCGCATTTTGCTCAAGACTCACCTGGCGACAGCCGCACCATACTTTGGCCGCCGCCGAGATGGGCACGTGTGATATTGCACTCGAAAGCTGCTCGGCTCTTTGCGGCTTACATTGCATCGCGTTGCATCACATTGCATTGCAACATCTACATCTGAAATCAAGTGAGATACAAATAAATAGAAAACATTAGCAGATGCTCTCCTTGCATATTCAATCATATTCATATTTTAGGAATTTTAGGTGTCATGACTGTCATGTCTCGTGCTGGTTTCAGTGCACTGAGGAGTCCATGCGCTCCTCAGGGTGGATGCTGGCAATGGCTCATTGTATAATCACATCGTCACTTAGCGCACGCCCGGTGCAATCAGTAACAAGAAATACACTGCTTCCGGGAAGCTGCTCCAGACACAGTGTGACTCCCTGTGACTTGCAAGGTGATTTTTCCATGTGTCCTGCGCAATGACTTTCTGTTTTGATCCTTTGGGTCGTGCATGTTACCATGGCAACACAATGGTCGTGGTCGTAGGTTCAGCTAGCTCGGACCCTGGCCGAAGAGAAGCCCAAAGATGCCTTGGAGCAAGTTGAGGCGCTCTCACGACGTTTGAAGGCCTGGAACTGGGCCCGAACTGCCCAAACTTCAAAAACGCAGACCGTTGAAGTGAGACATGTAGCGAGTCCATGCGAGTCATGCATTCAAATCTGCAAAGAAGGATTTGCCGTTCCGTATCTTTGTATTATGTGTATATAATATGTATATATACTTACTGTATATATTACATATAGACATATATACGTATTATGTATATTTTCATTTTTGATTTACATTTTTTTTTAAAACAACTGCTTGTTGTTTTGGTCTCAGGAGTCTGCCTTTCGTGGTCCTCCTTCTCCGGAGGCGTAGAGTGATGTCGAGTGGTCGGGTGGTCGAGTCGCTTTCGGAAAGCGACACTGTGAGGAGCCTGAGCTCAGCGTGGCAGCGAAGGCCGCAGAGGACGAGAGCAAAAGCTGCGCCCAGAGCTTCATGCTGCTTAGGCCGCAACCCAACCCGGACGACCATGACACGACCATGAAATGTATTGAAATGCAACACCATACATCATACAGAGAATAGATAATCCAACAGATGATACAAGATGAGTCCAGAATGCTCCAGAATTCCACCAGCCAATGTTTCATTCCAGTAGCATTGTAGATTGTGATCCATGATCTTACGAGCAGCAAAGAAGCAAAGCCCAAGTACAAGTCACGAGGAGAGGAAGAGCACAAAGATACAAAGCAGTTGCGAAACAGTACAACACAATGGTACGTCAGTAGGAATTAAAGCAAAAAACGTTACAGCATGTTACGACGTTATCGACGTTATCGACGTTGAAGTTCCTCTTTGCTAGGATCTTTGCCAGGTCACCCAGTGATCCCCTAGCAGCACCAAAAGTCCTGGGAGTGGTGCAGAACTATCTTGAGGACGGCAATGTTTTGAGTTCTGGCAAGTTACTTGGAATGTCAACAAAAAGAAGACGAAGACGAAAAAGACGGAAGGCAAAGACTGGAAGAGTAGCTGGATCGGGCAGGATGCAGCCATCCTGGAGTGGGCTGGTGTTGGCTTTGGCAAGCAAGAGCCTGCTGGCTCAGATGGTATGAGAAGTGGCTCAGGAAAGTTGGAGTGTTTGGCAGAGCTTGTTCAATTGCTCAGCAACTTTTTCTATTGATGTTTTTCTTTTACTACTTGTTATTTATTTTAGAAATATCTCAACTTGTTAGAGCTACACTGCATCTTTTGAGTCAAGAAATGACTGCTTTACAAATTCCTGAGGAGATAGCAGAAGTGTGTTGTTTTCAGCCGTGAAGCTTTCCGAGGTCGTACCATTTGGCCATGTCATTGCGGCAACTGGCCGCAGAATCTGGCTTGGAATCTTTGAGGTTGTGGGGAAAGGCGCGGGGGATTTCTGTGCCTTGCTGCGCTTTTGCCTTGCTGCGTCGATGTCTCGAGATGTCTCCGGATGTCTCAAGGTTCTTGGGACTGCCAGCGACTACTACGTGGCAGAGGGCACCCTGGGAGCTTCTGAACCGACGCCTGTGGCCCTGCCTGGAAGTCCTGATGATGATGTGGAGCCCAGAGGGCAAGGAGCCAATGTGAGAGGAAAATAAGCCACCAAAAATATCAAAAATGAAGATTTGTCAACTGGATGCATCAGTAGCAACATGACACCAAGAGTTGGTGCAAATGAAGTAATGGGCGTCAGATGTTACCCTACGCCCAGGAGCAAACCGTTGCATCTATTGGGTGACAAAAGGCGGCTTCGACCCATGGGTGAGGCTGCCACATGCGCGTGCTAGCCAGATCAGAGCTGTAGGGCGGCCCAGAAAACTCCGAAAACTTCGAGCAAGGCAATGAATCCAGTGGATAGAGCTTGATGCACTGCTTGAGCTAATCAGGGGGCTCAGAATCTGAGGCTCGAAGCATAAAGCACATGATGAGTGGCGACCTGTCTTCCGAAGTGATCTCTACCCCATGGTTCCCAGGCCCGTTCAGCAGTGATGGCGTAATTTACTCATAGACGTTGTTTTCAGATCTTTTTGACAGCCACTTCAGGAGGAGAGGAACAGCTGCTTCGTGCCCAAATCGCACGAATTACTTCAACCTGCATGCTAGCACCCAAAGGCTACTTCGAGGCGCAGATTTATGTACCATGTACAAGACTCAAGACAAGACATGCATACAACATCTCCATCTAAGGATCATATCCACATGTTGTTTTGCTGCATGCTAGAAATCCAACTGGGGTGTTTGGCATTTTAGTAATTTCAGTAATCATCAAGAATTTCAAGAATCATGTGATCATCCACCTGGCTCTTTCTGGTGGGAGCCGATTCTTGATGGCCTGTGATCCCCACCCCTATCGCTGTAATTCTCACTATCCGTGTGCTCATGTTTGCTCCTTTGAAGACAGGTAGATGAGGAAGCACCTGTCAAGAACACCATTCGAATGGTGGAGGGTGCGCTGGAAGCCTTCCCCTCTCCAGAGGAGTTTTGGTTGCTTCCAATCTGTCCAAAATGAAATAGAGTCAATAGAGACAAGGCAAACAAGTACAAACCGAATAATGTCGTATGATGTTAGGTGAACTTGAACATTTTGATTCGCAGCTCCCCTTCAGGAGCTAGCAACACAGGGTGGTTGGGTACATGCAGCACCTTTCCTTCTCTCCACAGGGATGCTCAGCTGCATGGCAATGCATGGATTTGAGAAAAAGATAAGATGATTTGAGCGCAGAGACAGGCTTCGATGAACCGTTCCTTTGATATGATCACCACAGTAGACCATTCGAAGGAATTCTTGTGAAATCGGAACAAGTTTCTACCTGATTTCTCTGTAGCCATAGCCATTTTTTTTGTGTTTTTGTTTGGCGTCGAAAATTGCAATCTTCGATGTACAGGCACAGGTGTCAGAAATTCAGCGTCACGCGCTGCACCAGGAAGAGCGGCTGGCCTGATCTGGAAGCGTTGGAAGGAAAGATCACTGAAGAGCAGGTAGAGAGAGCTGCAGACTACGGATGCAGACAGCAGACAGCTTTAGACAGCGGCATCGAGAGGTTTTGCACAGTTTTGTGGCATGCTTGTTTTTTTTAAGCACTTCCAGAAGAGTCTTTCCAGAGACTGAAAACCTCTCTATTATATACTTAGTGACTTCGTGATTTTCAGCAAAGAGGTTTACTGATGCAGGCAGAGGAGCTGAAAGCTCTTGCGGAAAATGAGCCAGAGAAGGCTATGCTGGAAGGTATCGAAACAGATCTTGAGGAGCCAATCCAATCACATCCACATTCTCCATCCACATTCTCCATCATTTAACCCCCCATATTTTGAGCGCTCTTGATTAACTTGATCTCTGCAAATTGTCTTGAACACAAGCAGATGCTGAATGACCTTGCGTAGTACACCTTTCCCACCCTGTGACCGATATTTGAGGAGCTGAAACCCGAAGAAGCAGAGAGCGGTCCTGCATGGAGCATTAAGAACTATGGGGATGAGGGTGTCACTCGGATGCAAAATAAGCGCATGAAAAGAAAACTCGTGCAATGGTCAAAACATGGCTTTCCCACATCCGTTCGCCCCTTCAAGTGGTGGCTTGTGCCATGTGCAGTTCAGTTGTCCAGGTCTACTCCTCTGGCGACGGCACCAAAACTCTCCGAGTAACAGCTATCCGATCCATGATTTGGCCAGGTTGGTCTCCTAGCTTCGAGTCGGCTAGTGACCTTTCTTCGGTTTTATCATTTTATCATAGTCATATATTATTTATTATATTTATTATATCTATTATATTTATTATAGTACACTTACTAATGTTTCTCTCAATGTCCGTTAGCTGGAATGCTGAAACCAGGTGCTGTCACTGTGGTGAAGGGTACGCGCTTTGCAAATCTGTATGCAACAGGGCTGCACTTGGGAACTTGCTCGAATAGACTCTTTAGATCTCTTTGGACCGTCACGAAGTCAAGGACTCCAGGACCGCCCACCAAGATGGACTGCCCCGCATGTGGCACGTTTCAGACTTTAATTTGAGACTTATGTATACTTATGTCAGACTTTTGAAAGGATCAGGACCAGAGGCAGAAGCTTTCTGCAAAAGCATCCGGCGCCGGCCAGCTTCCATGCGCCCAGGTCGGCTACGGCATGAAATGTGGAACGCTTGTGGGGCCGGAGAAGGCTGGCACCTCACCGGGAGCGGAACAAAACGGGTTGGACTCTGTTGGCGCCCAAAAAAGATCCAAAAAGTGCACGGCTCTCAACACCAAATCAATGTGTCCGACAAAATGGCAAAGTGGGTATAGTCTTGGGGATTGTCGGCCTTTATCGTTTGGCTGTTTGGCATCTGATTTTCGGGTCAACTGGTTAATCTTTGGTCGTCATTGTCACAGGAAAGTGGCCTGCCGCTGCGTGGCACCATGCCTTTGATGCCGCTTGCGCAGGGAGCCTGAGCCATGCAAAACACCTGGATCAAAACGGACATGGAATCAGCATGGAATCAGCATGGAATCAGCATGGAATCAGCATGGAATTAGATCAAATATGAATCATCCTGAATTTGAAGAGCATCAACACAGCATGGACACAGCCTGGAGCTGATTTTGAGCAAACATGAGCTGTGCTATGCTGAGGTTGCGTCGAACATGTGCTTTCGTTCATGTTGTGAAAAGAGATTCGGTTCTCAGTGCCACATTGCTAAGGCCCGAAGATATCATGGACGAACCAGGAGACTTGGAAGAGCACGAGGAGCCAAATCCTATTCAGGATGAGCAAGAGAGCGACAAGGCCGGGGCATGCAGGGCATGCAGGGCATGGCATGCACAGCACAGCACATTCTCAAACATTTGCAACATTTGCAATCACAAGATTTTGTGGTAGCTGCTGGTAGCTCCTTCAGCTCCATGGATGCCACTTCGATTGTTTTCATGTTATGGAAATTGTCAGCTGTTGAAGCATTTGTTTCTTCTACTCGAAATCAATCTTCTGATTAAGGGAAATCATGATGAAGCAAATGTGGCTTGAACAGTTTTTGCCGGGACTGAGCGGATAGTTTCCATGCTCGGAATCCTGCCAAGTTCAACTATATATCTTAACTTCGCCGACAGGAAGAGGTGGACGTTGATCCAGACCAATGAGCTTGAGGCCTGCGCAGTTCTGATCATCACGAAATCATCACGAACTCATCACCAAATCATTATGTCAATTATGTCTGGAAAAGATCCAAATCCAAGTGCTCTTTCAAACGGCTGTCATTTGAGACCTTTTGAGCTGTTCTGTGAGGCCACCCAGTTTCACCGCCAAGTGAGGGCCAAAAGGACCTGTCAAGCGACATTGAACATTGCTGAACATTACTGAACATGACTCAACCACTAGGGGCACTAAGTATCTATATCTGTTGCACCATCCTTTGCATCAATGGGTATGAAATAAGACCAGTATCCAGAAGTGCCAACGCAAGGCATGGCACGGCCTTTTGTGCCTTTTGCCGGGTCCTTCGCGTTGCCTAAGGCCACGTCCTTCATCTCCCTTGCATGAAGGATAGATATGTAAGTATTATATTTATATCCATATATTCAAATGGATGTCGTGACGATAGGATGTCGGGTTTTGAACAGACGCAAAGTCAAGTGGAACAGAGCTGGAACATGTGATCGAAATGCAAGGATTGAATTAGCACTTGTTCTTTCACCCAAGGATGAGACGGCGCGAATTTGCGCTAGACTGCTATCCCACCTTGGCGAAAAGAGTTTGCTGCTCCAGAGTTGCCTTTCAATTTCAAAACAACAATTCTGGAAAGACATTTTAAAGATCTTGTACGTACAAAAGTGTAGGTGTAATTACAACTCTTGCAACCTTCGGGACGCTTTGCGGCGCTTGTGCAAGGCTCTCATGGCCCAGCTACAAGATGTGGCCTTGCTTGCATGCTGTCAGCTTCAACCCGTCTGCCTCCAAGCGACGAGGCACCCAAAACTTCGTGCCGAAAACATCCAGTCATTTTCACGTCATTTCAGAGGTTTTGGTGGGTTTTAGTAGTTTTGTTCTGTGCAAGACAACGACTCTGACTTCTGTGCAGAGAAACAAAGATGAGTCAAGAATTTGTTGCATTTCGATTCCCCACAACTTGCAGGTGCCGACATTTCTATGCCATCATGCTGTGCAGAGGTTTGGCCGATATGTCAATTTGAAAGTCACAGCTAGCTGGAAGCAGTTCTACGGAGAGCTGCCCTGTGATTCAGTGCTTCCCAGGTCAGTTGCTGCTGCGTGGGCTTGCAGCTGATACATGGCAACCCTCTGCATCGCTTCGATGATTGAAACTTTGATATACATTGAAGTCTTCGATTGATATCCAATCTATTCCTGGACTTGGAGATGTACAGAGTGAAAAAGTCTGAGAAAAGTCTCCAAAGCCAAAAAACTGACTGAGAGTCTAATTCATCCAAGGTTCGGCTTTGCATGAAATGTTATGGCCCTATGATGAGGGGACATTCACATGGGCTCTGATATGTGGATTTGTGAAATTGGCCGGTAGTGCCATGTGACGTTTCTTGAACGAGAAAAGAGCTGAGCGTGGCAGTGCTGCATGGCATCCTGCAATTCTTATTTGAGCTTAAAAAGTTCACAAGTTGAGACTGGCCAGGCTTACTAAGACTATTCAGTGACTTTTCTTACTGCTCGAAGTCTTGTATTGAAGCTTTCTTTGCGCACAAGGTTGGCTCAAACGAGGCCCCGACCCGTAGACCACGTCCCTCTGAAGCTTGGTCCAAACCTCAGGGCAGCGTGTCAGTGAAGCCATTACCCGTTGCCCATGCGCCCGAGGAGCAAAATGGCGAGTCCTGTGCAGCACTAAGAAAGTCCCCTGCCACGCCAGGGCTCTGACAACATTCGTGAACGATGAGAAGCAAAGTAGTGAACAGTATTCCGAACAGAAAGCATTACTTAGTCTCTCTCTCTTGCTTCCATTCACCATTATAGTAGACTCTAGTCTGCCATTTGGGTAAATCGAGCATCCAGACAACTTGTGGAGACTTTCCTGAAATGACGATGCTGAGATGGACAGTGATGTGAGACAGAGAAGGAACATGAAGCATCAGTTGGACTCTCCGTTCTTGCAGTTGCCTGGCATTTTGCTACTTGCATGTCAGCAGCATGACATTGATAAATCTCTTGCTTGCCGCATGGTCCTAGTGTGTGTCTTATCCATCCCTGATGACACTCTGAATTTGCACGTCAGTCTGACAACTTGTGAAGACTTTCCTGAAATGACGAACGATGCTGAGATGGACAGTGATGTGAGACAGAGAAGGAACATGAAGCATCAGTTGGACTCTCCGTTCTTGCAGTTGCCTGGCATTTTGCTACTTGCATGTCAGCAGCATGACATTGATAAATCTCTTGCTTGCTGCATGGTCCTATTGTGTGTTTTATCCATCCCTGATGACACTCAGAATTTGCACGTCAGTCTGACAACTTGTGAAGACTTTCCTGAAATGACGAACGATGCTGAGATGGACAGTGATGTGAGACAGAGAAGGAACATGAAGCATCAGTTGGACTCTCCGTTCTTGCAGTTGCCTGGCATTTTGCTACTTGCATGTCAGCAGCATGACATTGATAAATCTCTTGCTTGCCGCATGGTCCTAGTGTGTGTCTTATCCATCCCTGATGACACTCAGAATTTGCACGTCAGTCTGACAACTTGTGAAGACTTTCCTGAAATGACGAACGATGCTGAGATGGACAGTGATGTGAGACAGAGAAGGAACATGAAGCATCAGTTGGACTCTCCGTTCTTGCAGTTGCCTGGCATTTTGCTACTTGCATGTCAGCAGCATGACATAGATAAATCTCTTGCTTGCTGCATGGTCCTATTGTGTGTCTTATCCATCCCTGATGACACTCAGAATTTGCACGTCAGTCTGACAACTTGTGAAGACTTTCCTGAAATGACGAACGATTGCTGAGATGGACAGTGATGTGAGACAGAGAAGGAACATGAAGCATCAGTTGGACTCTCCGTACATTGATAAATCTCTTGCTTGCTGCATGGTCCTATTGTGTGTCTTATCCATCCCTGATGACACTCTGAATTTGCACGTCAGTCTGACAACTTGTGAAGACTTTCCTGAAATGACGAACGATGCTGAGATGGACAGTGATGTGAGACAGAGAAGGAACATGAAGCATCAGTTGGACTCTCCGTTCTTGCAGTTGCCTGGCATTTTGCTACTTGCATGTCAGCAGCATGACATTGATAAATCTCTTGCTTGCTGCATGGTCCTATTGTGTGTTTTATCCATCCCTGATGACACTCAGAATTTGCACGTCAGTCTGACAACTTGTGAAGACTTTCCTGAAATGACGAACGATGCTGAGATGGACAGTGATGTGAGACAGAGAAGGAACATGAAGCATCAGTTGGACTCTCCGTTCTTGCAGTTGCCTGGCATTTTGCTACTTGCATGTCAGCAGCATGACATTGATAAATCTCTTGCTTGCCGCATGGTCCTAGTGTGTGTCTTATCCATCCCTGATGACACTCTGAATTTGCACGTCAGTCTGACAACTTGTGAAGACTTTCCTGAAATGACGAACGATGCTGAGATGGACAGTGATGTGAGACAGAGAAGGAACATGAAGCATCAGTTGGACTCTCCGTTCTTGCAGTTGCCTGGCATTTTGCTACTTGCATGTCAGCAGCATGACATAGATAAATCTCTTGCTTGCTGCATGGTCCTATTGTGTGTCTTATCCATCCCTGATGACACTCAGAATTTGCACGTCAGTCTGACAACTTGTGAAGACTTTCCTGAAATGACGAACGATGCTGAGATGGACAGTGATGTGAGACAGAGAAGGAACATGAAGCATCAGTTGGACTCTCCGTTCTTGCAGTTGCCTGGCATTTTGCTACTTGCATGTCAGCAGCATGACATTGATAAATCTCTTGCTTGCTGCATAGTCCTATTGTGTGTTTTATCCATCCCTGATGACACTCAGAATTTGCACGTCAGTCTGACAACTTGTGAAGACTTTCCTGAAATGACGAACGATGCTGAGATGGACAGTGATGTGGGACCCTGGGAGCACCACGGCGACTGTTCAGTGCGATTGCCCTGTATCATCCTGTATCATGCTGTGGAATGCCCTGTATCGGTTGACAGCAGTAGTCTTGAATTTTTCAGCGCCAAGGTAGTAGTCTTTGTGAGCGCAGAGGAATCCAGCCAGGACGGGGCAATGTAATGCTACAACCATGCGAATTGGGATTTGTTTTGCTGACGATCTTGGAAGATCTTGGAAGCTTTTGGACGCTTTTGGAAAATCTTAGAAAATCTTGGAAGATTTTCGGCTATATTTATAGTGAGATATATCGCTTATGATATCTTATAGCTATATTTTTAAGGATGTTGAACTAATATTGATGTTTGTTGAATCTGGTGCGAACCCCCGTCTGAGCAGGCCGCAAGTGCCGGCTTCATCCAGGTCAGGGCTGTGCTGCTGTGCTTCGCATCCACTGTTTCTGGCTTTATTGGGACAAGCATGGGCAAGCTGTACTTCTGATATTTTCTCATGTTTTCATTGGCTTTACCAAGGGATTAGAAGGGAATGAATGCAGCCTTGATCTCGTCTACATTGGTTGACATTGGTTTTCCTTCAGCATGGAATGGATGCATCGTAGATGGCATGGAAGACGGCATGTAGACCTCTGACCAGCACTTTGTGGCGCAGGAAATGCGACAGACCTTGCAGAAAGCCCAAGAAATCACCCAGGTCATTTCAGAGGCAACGAGGGGAACACCCCATTACCTATATGTAAGATAGCTTCTCAGATCAGTATGCAATAAGATGATGCAACACAAATATACACAAGTCATCGAAGGAAGTTTAGAAGTCAAACTTCCGACAACATGGACAGATGAAAAGCAGAGGTGGGAAGAGTCAGAGAAGAGAAGAGAAGAAAAAAGAAGATCAGAGAAGAGAAAGAGTCAGAAGAAAGAATATGCAGGTGCGCGAAAGGGTAGAAAAGTCGCTAATCACTGTGTTTTTTAAATGATTTGTGGCTCTGGAGGGTCGAAAAGTAGGCTCGCCAAAGCGGCGGGTTCGGAGCCATCTGTCCAGATGAGAGATGAAAAGTGCACGCCGTTGTGGCGCGAAGCACATTTCGAAGTCAAAAGCGTTAAAAACTGACGGGTTCGGAGCACTTTTGGAAGTTGAGATGTCGAAAAAGTGCACGCCGTTGTGGCGCGAAGCACAGGCCGCAAAGCAGCATGGGGAGGAAGATGAATTCCGCTACCCGCCATACACCTATGCGGAACAGTACATGCTGAAACAGGAAGCCAACGGAACGGGAGGTACTCAT